CACATGAAAACCAAGGTGGCAAAGAAAACCCAGCAACGTAAGTGCCATGATTTCTTTGAAACTCATGGAATTCGCTTTGTGGTCTTGTTTTGATTGCGTTATACTCTATATGTGGATCGTGTTACTAATCCTCCTTCTGCCTTGTCCTTTCATCCCCTTCCGCACGTGGAGAAACAGTGCAAGGAGTTCTGGACGTTCGTACGTGAAGCACGGCATGATTATGAGATCAACAATCGCTACATCAAGCCGAAGTTTGGCATGCAGGGGCGTAGCGCTTTGCTCGTCCTCGACTCCTACCAAGGTCACCTTATGAAAGAAGTCAAGAAGAAGTTAGTGCAGTACAACATCGTCCCCGCAGTCATCCCAGCGGGATGCATGGCAGAGGTGCAGCCCCTCGATGTGGCCACCAACAAAAGCTCCAAGGTATCGGTGCGACAGCAGTATCAGGCCTGGTTCGAGCAAGAGGGCATAAACAAATTGACAGCAACCCTAGGTGTCACGGTAGCCCTAGCAGCATTAAGAGCATCACGGTACCTAAACCATCCGTGAGTTCCTAGGTTTCCCCCGCCCTAAGGTTTTAACCTGTTCTCCCCTTCCGTTTCTTCGTCGTGCAGGCAACATCGAGAAATCGCCTCTCGTGGTCATTCTCAAGCTGATTTCTAGGGCCTGGAGGTTCGTAGACTGGTCGTCTCAGGCTCCACTAGTTTCAAGGAGGGAAAGTGCCAGATCTTCAAGGTGAAGCGGCCGCCTGGATCACCGCGCATTTTCAAGGCGCGCTACGTGGCCAGAGGCTTTAGTCAGCGTGAGGGAGTTGACTTCTTTCAAACCTTCGCTCCGACCCCGAAAATGACAACTCTTCGGGTGTTACTTCACGTAGCAGCACTGCAAGACTACGAGCTGCACTCCCTCGACTTCTACACTGCCTTTCTCTAGGGCCGCCTACACGAGGAGATCTGCCTGCGACGTCTTCCTCGCTTCATTGACACTTTCCCTCCTTGGACCCAGTGGAGCCTAAGACGACCAGTCTAAGGTCTTTGCCAGGCACCCCGTGAGTGGCAAGACATGCTATACACCACTTTGGCTGACCTCGGTTTTCTCCCTTCGTCCGCTGACCCGTCGTTGTTTGTTCGCAGAGGCTCCACTCCTTTATTTTTCCTTGTCTACGTCGACAACTTGGTTTTCGCTGTAGCAAACAGGGTTGATCTCGCTTAGGTGAAGTCCGAACTACAGAAGAGACACACGTGCACTGACCTGGGTGAACTGCGCCACTACCTTGGCTTGCAGATCACCAGGGACAAAGCTGCTCACACCATTATGCTCTCAAAGTCACACGTGGTGCAGCATGTTCTTCACCAGTTCGGGCTTCAGTTCTCCACCATACAGCCCACTCCTCTTGTTGTCGACCACAGACTCATCGGCTCTTTTCCCAACGAGTCATTTGAGTCTAGTGGTCCCTACGTAGAGCTTGTGGGCTGCCTCATGTACCTGATGACTTGTCCTCGTCCGGACCTCGCCTTTCCCCTCAGCATCCTCTCTCGATTTGTTGCGATTGGGAGACACCGTCCTGTTCACTGGACAGCTGCTGTGAGAGTGGCGAAGTACCTGGCGACTACATCAGGCGTGGGGCTTGTGCTTGGAGGGACACAGCCGGTTGTGCTGACCGGTCACTGCGACTCTTCGTACACCGACGACGTGGAGACCCAGCGGTCTACTCAGGGGTACTTTTTCCGTTTGGGTGTTGGAGCTATGTCGTGTAGGTCTACTAGGTCGTCGTATGTGGCACAGTCCAGTGCAGAGGCAGAGATCTACGCTGGTGCCATGGCTGCGCAGGAGCTTCATTGGTTGACTTTCTTACTCACTGACCTTGGTGAGCGGCCTCGCTCTGCACTGACCTTGTTCGCTGACAACAAGGCTATGATCCTCCTTTGTCGAGAGCCTCGACTGGAGGGTAGAGTGAAGCACATCGACATAAAGTATTTTCTCCTACAAGAGTTGCAGGGACGCGGCCAGGCTCGGTTGGACTTCGTAGCCTCAGCGGTCAACACAACAGAAATTTTCACCAAGGCCCTAGCGCCTAGTGACCACCACAGGTTCTGTCTGCAGTTAGGCCTTGTTGATACTGGTGCTAGGTTGCTGTAGCATTGTTTCTTTTTGCTTGTTGTACTTGTGTCAAATGTTTCTATCATTTATATATTGTTAGTTAGTCTAGGCTAGAGTGCGTTGCCCTTTAAAGGGTACAACAGTTTCTAGACACACACTTGTATCTCCTTGTTTCCATCCACTCGACATTTCACTAAGCTGCTCTAAGCTACTCTTGTTGAAATAGCCCTAGGCTAGGTTAGGAACCAAATGAGCCATGGCTAGAAGTTAAGAAAAAAAGAGAGATGATTGCATTAGGAAGTTACGAGATTTATACAAGGAAAGCAAAACGAACTGGTGCACCACTTACAAAACATAATAACTACACTACAACTACAAGCAGTTACAAATGTCAGAATCCCAACCACTAGACCATTGGGATAAAAGGGTTTTTTTTTTCAGTAGCGGGTCAGTGCGCCCATAACCCCCGAGGCAAACGCGTCTGTAACCCCCCCTAGGATCGATCGCGGATCTCACAGTGTAGCTCTACTGACACCCCCCCCCACACTGGGAGGCCCAGGACTGAGCACAGTGGCAACGGCCTACATGTGCATACACAGGGATTCGAACCCGAGACCGCTCTGTTACCATGTCAGAATCCCAACCACTAGACCATTGGGATAAAAAGGCTTGTTTCAGTAGCGGGTCAGAGCACCCATAACCCCCCAGGAAAACGCGCCTGTAACCCCCCCTAGGATCGATCGGGGATCTCACAGTGTAGCTCTACTGACAACAAAAGATGTAAAATATGTTTTGACACGCCCCCGTAATTGCTTGTAGGAAAAAGTGTAGTTACGCCCCTTGAATGGGTACACCATGCAGAGTGCGCAGCGGAAGAAGAGAAGTACCAAGGAGGAGGTGAGAGAGAGTGATGAGGAGAGGAGGTGGGGGGGAGCCAAGCGCGGCGAGCCCCTCTTACGAACCCCGTTTTTACAAAGGGGGGAGGGTGAGAGAGGGAGGAGAGGAGGTGGGGGGGAGCCAAGTGCGGCGAGCCCCTGTTACGAACCCCCAAGTCCACCCCCTCTTTCAGCCATCCCCTAAACCTCACCCCCCTTTGTTCAGCCGCCACCCGGAACCGCACTCCTTCCGTCCCCCCCTCACCCCCCCCCCACTCCCCCCGCCCCCCCCCCCCCACCCCACTGCAGTAGGAGCAGCAGGGGGGAAGAGAGAAGAGGTGGAGGGACGGCTGCTGGCTGGTCACCCCTGCCACCCCCACACCCTCCCCCCTACCCCTCCTCGGTTGCACGAGCAGCATAAGTGGCAGGAGCCGCGGATGTATCCACCCTCATCACCCCCACTCACGGCCACCACCCCCAACACACCCCCTTCCCCCCAACGAGCGTGCGCGGGGCTGGCGACGGGCAGAAACCGCCGCACGTTCGGGGCGCGCGACGGGCAGAAAACTGACGCGCGCCCGGAGCGCGCGACGAGCAGAAACTGCCGCGCGCTTGGGGCGCACGATGGGCAGAAACCGCCGCACGCTCGGGGCGCGCGACGGGCAGAAACAGCCGCACGCTCGGGGCGCGCAACGGGCAGGAAACCGACGCGCGCCCGGGGCGCGCGACGAGCAGGAAAGAGGCGCATTTGCGGAAGCTGACGGTGGGTCCAATGAGAAAGGATCTGGGAACGAGCCTGCTCTGATAACATGTTGAAACAGCCCTAGGCTGGGTTAGGAACCAAAGGAGCCATGGCTAGAAGTTAAGAAAAGAAGAGAGATAATTGCATTAGAAAGTTTTGAGACTTATACAAGGAAAGCAAAAGGAATTGGTGCACCACTTACAAAACATAATAACTACACTACATTTACAAGTAGTTATAAAGGATGTAAAACATGTTTCGACAACTCTAAGCTACTTTAAGACCTCTGATGACATGCCTTGGCGTGGGTGGGGGCATGGGACGGTATACAACAGCTGGTTTGTGGGGCGACCATCCGGAGGACGAGGTGGATGGTTAAATACGGTAGGTGTGGTCTCTTACTGCCCTGCCCCACTGGTTCATTTGGCCCCACTGAGAAATAAGGAACTCTAGATAAATTTGCATACCCTGATTGATTAAAGCTAACCTCTTGTGCATTGCATGCCCCTTTGTGTGCCTCACCTGCCCCTATGTGTGCCTCACCCCTATGTGTGCCTCACCCCTCTGTGTGCCTCACCCCTCTGTGTGCCTCACCCCTCTGTGTGCCTCACCCCTCTGTGTGCCTCACCCCTCTGTGTGCCTCACCCCTCTGTGTGCCTCACCCCTCTGTGTGCCTCACCTGCCCCTCTGTGTGCCTCTGCCCTTCTCTGCCTCATTTGCCCAAAATGACACTGGTAGTATGTTTACCATTCCTCTTATCTTTTCTTATCACAGATGCTTCAGAGAGTTACTGTACCGTGTGCTCAGTCACGGTAAACTACACCCACTTGCACATCCATCTGAAAACATGAATGTTCAGTACTCCTTGATTACCAAGCTATACACATGAGCCGTCACAAAAATGAAGCTGGGCAACACAACTAGATGGATCAAATGAATGAATCACATATGGTACAAATGAGGTGCCTCAGCAGGCCGATCAGCACTTGACCAGGGCAAAGGCCGCTGTGTGGTGCCACGCGTGCAGCATGGCAGGAGGAGGAGGTGAGATCACATGGCGCAGGCAATGGCCTTGACGAGGGCCACATTTCCCGATGTGGTGCTGCATGTACAAGTGAGGGGAAACAGCACAGCAGAGAGCGATACGTGTGAGAGAGAGGGGAGAGCAAAGGCACCTCAGGAAAACGATAGCATGGTACTAGCACTGGGAGAAAGGAAGCACGGTGCTAGCATTGAGAGAAAGGAAGAACAGGTGGGGGCAGGGTGGGGGGTGGAGCACTGACGCGAAGTTGGTGACGTCCCCGGCAGGGCGGTAGTAGCCGGTGGCAGAGCCGTAGCAGGAGGCGCTGGTCCAGAACCACAGCAGCCCGCACGACTGCTTGGGCGCCCCCATGCTGTCCGGCACGTTCCACAGCACGCGCAGCGACACCGCTGCAATGCCGCCGGGGATGTCCACACAGCTGCCCCGCGACGAGTTGGCGGGCAGCCCCGTGCGCACCAGCGTGGGGCCCAACGCGGGGGGCGTGCTGCTGTAGGACGCCGTGTTGTAGATCGCCAGGCTGGTGGCTGACACGGCAGCGGGCGTGCCCTGCACACACACGTTGCTGCCCAGGTACCACCCCGTGGGGCACTGGCAGAACGGGTACCCACTCCCGTCCACCGCACATGTCGCCTGCGCTGGGCACACCGCCCCCACACACACCGGCGCTGCAAGCAACAGGGAGGGAAGGGTAAAGGGGCGAGGGAGGGGGAAGGTGTGAGAGGTGTGGTGTGAGGAGAGGGGGTGGGTGGAGCAAAGGATCAGAAGGGACGAGCGACCAAGGGAGCGGGGTGGTAGGCAGGGGACCGGGGAGAGAGGGCCACTCACGGACGCAGGTATCTGCACTGACGGCTACGAGGCCGGTGGGGCAGGCGCACTGAGCAGTGCCAGAAGAGCCATCACACACGAGGTTGCCCGGGCACGTGATGGTGCCGCTGCTGCAGGGGTCGGGCTGGCACGTGGCGTTGTTCACCAGCACCTGCCCCGCCCCACACACACACACCGGCTGCCCGTACTGCACCGTGCATGTGGCCGTGGACGGGCATGCCACCCGGTAGCACGGGTCTTGCACTGCAGGGTGTGAGGGAGAGGGGGGGAGAAGACAGAGAGAGGAGAACAAGGATGGAGGAGAGGGAGATTGAGATGAGGGTGGGGATGGGCATGGGTGGAAAGGAAAGGTGTGGGCACAAAGGACGGAATAGAGGCGAGCCATGGGAGTGGGTGGGCAGAGACGGATTGGAGCCATGCTCACCATAGGGCAGCTGGCCGCCATAGTTGCCGGGAGGGTAGTAGTTGCACGCCCACACATCTGCCTTCGTGCCACACGAGGCCTTGCCACAGCCCACGGTGCGCGTGTTGTTCCAGATGACCTGCGTGTAGTGGCCGCAGTCAGCCCAGTTGCCGGTGCTGCAGCCCCCGGAGAAGACGGCGTACGTGTAGAGGTCGCCCTCGCCCACCCACCAGCTCACGGCCGCCCCATTCGAGTAATAGCCGGCCGGCCCGCCCCCCGACAGGTTCTGCCCCTCGCCGGGGTTGCCGCCGTGCGACAGCCCACAGTTGTACGTGCTGTTTGTGAGGGTTGTCGCCCATGCCTGGGCCTCCGCCGCCACTGGCACGAGCACGAGGGGGACGAGGAGGGGGGGAAACGAGGAGGGGGGTTGAGACATGACGAGCGAGGGGTGGGGATTGGGGTCTGAGAAACGGCAGTGACGGATGTGGACGAGGAGAGGGGACGAGGTGCATGCAGTGGGAGCGGAGGGGGCATGTGAGGTGAGGGCGACAACCCAGTGCACGCACGGAGCACAGCAAGCGCGTTGATAGGCACAGGACCAAACCAAGAGGCAGAGGCACGAGGGAGGGCGAGGGGGGCACTCACGGGAAGCGTTCCAGACGAGGGGGATGGCGCCCACTGCGGCCCTGGCGGCATTCTGGTTGTCCAGATAGTCCGAATTCGCCAACGTTGCTGCATGGCGCCCAGGGGCGAGGCGTGGGGGTAGTGGCGGGAAGGAGGGAGGTGCGTGCGGTAGAGAGGGTGTGAGCAACGCTTGGAAGACTGCAGTGCGAGCAGCAGGCAGCATGGGCAGGAGAAGAGTAGGGAGGATGGAAAAAAAAAGGGCAGGAGGGGAGGAGGGAAAGGGGGGAGCAGCACGAACCGGAGGAGCATTTGTTGTCGATGAGGCGCGTGTAGGGCGGAGGGCACGTGCAGACGGGTGCGCCGAGCATGTAGGTGCATGTGGACACGTCGGGGCACTTCACCCCGTAGCACAGGTCTGCTCGCGAGTAGTGGGGGGGCGTGGGGGAAAGGGGAAGGGTACAGAGGCGGCTGAGCAAGGAAGGCAGCAGGGAGGGGGAAGGGGGGGTGGTGCAAGAGGAGAGGGGGAGGTGGAGGGGGGCGGTGGATGTGGGGGAGGTGGGCACATAGCGAGGAAAGCAGTGAATCAAGGCGGGCGGAGGGGGCAGGACGCAGGGCGGAGGACGGGGAAGAGAGGGGGGGGACGGGGTGGCGACACTGACCAGGGCAGTCACACTTGGAGACGCCATTGGCGGAGGAGCACGTGCAGTTGGCCGGACATGTCACCAGCGAGCAGGGCGCAGCCGCTGGTGGGGGGGAGAGGGAAGGGGACGGGGAGGGAGGGAAGAGGAGCAGGGAAGGTGGGGTGAGGAGGGGCCAGGGAGTTTTAAGTGCAGGGGAGGAATGAGGGACGGGTGGGAGAGGGCAAGTGGGGCAGGAAGGGCGGAAGGGGCCAGAAGGGCAAGGAGAGGAGAGGGAGAGGGGCGTACGCTGGCAGGCACCGCTGACGAGGGTGTAGCCCACGGCGCACACACACGTGGCCACGCCATTCACGTTGCTGCACGTGGCCTTGGCGGGACACGTGGTAGACGCACAGGGGTCCGTGATCACTGCACGCACCAACAGGGGCGGAGGGGAGGAAGAAAAGAGGGGTTGGAAGGGCAGGGTGAGGGGAGAGGACGGGCTCAATGCGCGAATGCGGGTATGAGCAAGACGCAGGCAGAGTAGAAAACGATTTCGAAGATAAAGGCATGGGCGTGGGGCGCGAGAAGGAGTTGTCCGCGCTGACTCACCCACGCACTGGCCGGCCGTCATCTGGTAGCCGGCGCTGCACGTGCAAGTGGCGACGCCATTGACGTTGGAGCATGCTGAGTTGGCGGGACACGAGAACCCCGCGCATGGGTCGGGCGCTGACGGGAGGGGCGGCAACGGGAGGCAAGGCAGAAACATGCAAGGAGGCGGAAGGGGCGGAGATGAGAAGGGCGGAACGGCGCAGCAAAGGTAAGGCGGGGGGAGAGGGAGGGAGAGGGGGGAGGGAGGGAGGGAGGGAGGGGGGGGGGGGGGGGGGGGGGGGGGTGGGGGGAGGATGGGGGGGACGGGTTGGGGGATGAGATTCTAGAAGGGTGTGATTCAGAGAGGCATAAAAGAATAAGAGGAGCAATCAAGCAGGTGCAGCGAGCGAGAGAGACGGGCAGGAAAAAGCAACTCACCTATGCAGGCGCCGTTGACCGGGTCAAAGCCGGGAAGGCACGTGCAGGTGGCGGCGCCGTTGACGACTGAGCAGTTGGCGTTGGCCTGACACGTGGTGCTCGCGCACGGGTCCGATGGGGGCAACGCTGCTCGCGGGGGATGGGCGGAAGACATGGGGCATGGCAGGGAAAGGGGAGGGGGAGAGGAAGGGAAGAGCGTGATGCAGAGGGGGGAGACATCTCAAAAATGGTGGAGGGGCGGTGCAGTGAACGAGGGGGAGAATGCCGAAAAAAAGGGGAAGGGAGGAAGAACGATGGGGAGGGCAGGAAAGAGCAGCAGGGTGCAGCAGGGAGGAGGAGAGCATACCGGCGCACTGGCCGTTGACCATTTGGAAGCCCGCAGAGCATGTGCAGGTGGCGACGCCGTTGACGTTGGAGCACACCGAGTTGAGCGGACAGTTGGCCGTCGCACAGGGGTCCGGCACTGCGAGGCGGCGAGGGGCGGGGGAGAGGGAGGGGAGAAGAGAGGGGGGGGGGAATTAGCATGGAGGAGCAGGGGCAGGGGCAGGGGCAGGCAAGGAAGGGGATAGAGAGCAGACGGGACGGTATGAGATGCCGTGGAGAGGAGGCGAGGAAGAGAGGGGAGGAATGGAAATCGCAACGGCCGAGAGGTGCTCTTATACGGCGTCGTATTGGCGACGCTCGCGGCACCCGCCATTGCACATGCAGCGAGGCACCATCGACGGCAACACTCACCAACGCACTGCCCATTGACCATCTGGTATCCGGTGTTGCACGTGCACGTGGCGACGCCATTGACGTTGGAGCATGCTGAGTTAGCGGGACAGGTGTACCCCGTGCACGGGTCGGGCACTGGCGTTTGAGAGAGGGGAGAGCAAGGGGGGAGGGACGGGGGAGGGAGCGGAGGGGGAGTGGAGGTGAAGAGATGAAAAGAGATCGAAGCAAAGTAGGAGAGAAGAGGGGAGGGTCGGAGCGCAGGGAGGAGATTGATTGAATGGAGTTGACTCACCGACGCACTGCCCATTGACCATCTGGTATCCGGTGTTGCACGTGCACGTGGCAACGCCGTTGACGTTGGAGCATGCTGAGTTGGCGGGACAGGTGTACCCCGTGCATGGGTCAGTCGGTGTTGCTGGCAGAATGGGGAGAATGGGGAGAAGGGGAAGTAGGGGCACAAGGGCAGAAGAGAGTGAGACGCGGGTTGCGTGGCGCTCACGCTGCATTGCGCAGCACTGCGGACCAGAAAGCCGACTCACCAACGCACTGCCCGCCAACCATGCTGTATCCAGCGTTGCACGTGCACACGGCGGCACCGTTGACGACGGAGCACGTGGCGTTGACGGGGCAGGTCTTGGTGGCGCAGGGGTACGTGTTAGTGGCGATGGCGGCCTGACACGAGATGGACCTCGCCGTCAGAATAATGCCGCTCGTCGTCCTGCACGCGGTCAAACGCAGAGTCAGTCAACGAAGTCAACGCAGCCAGCGCAGCCAGAGTCAGTCAACGCAGTCAACGGCAAGCATGGAAGAGGAGTGTCAGCAAGGGGAGCGGCGGGCGCGCAAGGACGCGCGGGCGTGTGGAGGGATGGGAGCGGCTCACTTGACGCTGGTGGAGGCGTAGCTGAAGTTGTTGGGGTTGGCGGCGGACCATCCGCCGGGGATCTGGTAGCCGGAGCCGGAGCAGCAGCAGTTGGGTTTGTCCCAGAAGAAGAGCTTGCCGCACACCAGGTGGTCCGCCACGCCGTCGTTCACGTTCCACATGATGCGCAGCGACCCCACCGACCCGTTGAACGCGCCCGACAGGTTCACGCACGCGCTCGAGTTTGGCGCGGCGCCGCGCAGCACGGCGGGCCCGAGCGTGGTGGGCGAGTTGGCGTAGTTGGCGGCGTTGTAGAGCACGACGTTGGTGCCGACCTCCGCCCAGCTGGCGGTCGGCGCGCACACGCCGTTGATGATGGCCTGTCCCGCCGCGCACTTGCAGTACGGGTAGCCGCTGCCGTCCACCACGCACGAGGCGCCCGTCGGACACACCACGTTTGCGGGGCACGACGCTGGGGGAAAGGGAAAATGGGAGGGGGAGCACGGGCGCGAGTTAACCACATGTGCTCCGAGGAGTCCCGCCCGTATGATTCGCATAGATAATCCCTCGTAAAATTCGCATATATGCGCGCAGGGCGGGCGCGCTAACCTTGCAGCTCGCGACGGCTACCTGCGGCAGCGAGGCGATGCGAAGCTAGACACGCGTGCAGCAGAAGCAGAAACGCGACGCCCTTCATCCTCTCAGTCCTTGGTCGATTGCAATGTGTTGGCGGTGGTGCGATGTGCGCTTGGAGCAGCTGGTCGGAGTAGCGAAGCAGGCAGGACTGGGAGAAAAGTAGTTGGAATTTGGAATGTGATCTTGCTGGACTGAATGGCTCAAGCTCTCTCAATTTACACACTGGAGGGGAGGGATAGCTTGTACACATGATGCTCACCTCCTGCACGCGAAATTGCCTTGCACCAGATGGATACCTTGCACCCGTGGGTTTTGTGCCGTGGGGTTGCACCCACAGTACAAGCACGTCGACCAATAGAAACCACAGAAACTGAGGTCTGACTGAAGAGACTGCAGTCAAAACGTCAACGGTGCGTTACAAAAGTTTTTTATAAGCCCTTTTTGCCCGAAGCGAATTGACGAAACCTCCACGAAATGCAAGAACCATTTATGCGCCCAGAGGGTAAGGCAAGGTCGGAGGGCTCAACCGGGCATCATGTGTATGTGATATATGTTCTGTAGTTCGTTGTAGGGTTGGGTGAAGTGCGTGACATTCCTCCCCACTTGGACGTGTTGGGTGCATTTGGACTGGGAAAGTGGATAGGGCAAGGGGTGGGAGCTTTCCCATGCACACGTACAGTAACACTGCCCGTTTCATGCTAACGGCCAGGTCAGACCAGCAGACGGTTCCGTTTTTCCCATGTACACCCTGTTTCTCGACCCTCTCACCTTGCGCGATTCGCTGCTATAGTGCGGTCAGGTGCCATAAACCGTATGGCTGAAACCTGCGGGCAAAGCCGCACCAGCTGACGGAGTGGTACTGGGGGCAAAATTTTTCTTTATCGCTGTATACCCTTTTCAACCGCTTTGAAACGCTTGGTTAATGTTCTTTACCATGCAGCATCCTAGCTAACCGCTTTCTTGTGAATGTGCTTGTACCGTCGGTGATAAGACCATTTCAAACGTGGTGACGTTCTACAACCAGCGCATGTTCTGCAACCAGATGCTCTGCTAGCGCGAAACAGGGTGTACACTCGAGGTTGTTGGATCTGTGCTCTGCCCTGCGCAGCGCGTACAGTACTGATCGGGTCGGGTGTGACTTGTGGATTTCGTATTCCGACGAGGGGCAAATGCTGTTGGCTTCGTGTCGGTCGGGGACGGGTTGGACAGAGAGACGCATTTGCTGGCCACAAGTGTTTTGCCCTTGAGGATGGATTGTCAGCAAGGGTACGGAAACTCAGGAGCTTGACCCATCTTCCAAATTACCCGACATTTTGAGTACACTCCTCACCGCAACAGTGTCTCTCTTGCAAGAAACCCAGAGAGCAACAGTTCTGTTTCACCATGTCTGGAACCAGCCCTGATGTCAAAAGATAGGGGTACAGCTGCTGACACCTCGGAGTACACCCTCTTTCTCACTACACTGAACTGTGCTGAACTGATGGAAAACCTAGTTACCTTCGATTTGTCTGATTGAACCATACCTAGACTTAATCTAACCACCGTTAACCGTGCTTTTCCCATCTTGACTTCACTATAACCGAATTCACAATGGCGAGAAAGAGGGTGTAATGGAAATGATGTGTGTGACAGATTGAGGTGAGTGTTAGGCAGCTTCAAAGTAGAAGTTGTTTTCCCTGACTGGGATTTCTTATTACACCCTATTTCTCAGCTTTCTGACAAACGGGAGCCCGACTACAGTGCGAACGTACGCTTGGATTTTGCGGGCTGGTGCTTGCAGCCGAACCCCAGGTAGGTGGCGGGCAAATGCAGTCCATTTGAACGATACAAAACGTTTTATGACAGAAAATTGCTGTCGCGTACGGTTGAGTGCGGCGAATTGTGCTTATATGCAATGTTCTGGGACCGTTTTCGACGCGTTGATGTCAGAATAGGCGGCATGTCAATACAGCGAATGTCAGTGTGGCGCGAGCAGGGTGTATGAGTCAGGTGGAATAATTCGGACCTTGGTGTCCAATGAAACTGTCATGAGCGGTCAGCAAAGAAACGACGTGTTGCGACCCAACAAGGTTGGGTTGGGTTGGGTTGACCTGGTCGACCTAACCATCGCGGCTCGGGACCTCACAGAATCTCTGAGAAATTTTGGCACACCCTCTAAGCACTTACAGTGCAATTTATTTCTAGCTTCCCTGCAGACTAGGCGAGTTGTGACGAGAGTCAGAAACTCTGAAACTAGCCTCGCTGGATTTCCAATTCGTAAACGCATATAATACGAACCTATATCGATATTTTAAAATTCTCTAGCTCAGGTAACTTGTCGCAATCTTGCTCAGTTGGTCGGGTCAACATGGTTGGCCCGACCAGGTCGACCCAGATCGGGCAGACCCGACCCGACGTGGTTGGGTCGAGCTGGTTGGCTAGATCCGCAACGCAGCCTTCCTAGAAATGAGAAATCCGACCTCGTCGATCCGACCTCTTTGGGTCGCAACATGTCGTAAGCTAACGGATGTGATGTGATCCACACACATCACCACGTACAGTAGGCAGTGCACATGTGCGAATTCAATGCCGACTCGTCAGCAGAATGTGCATTCCCATGTTCCCTTGCAGCGAGACCTGTAACACTTCATCGCACGAAGAAATGTGGCTTCCAGCAATTAGCTGGAAGCCTTCCTGGTGACTCCCGTTTTCGGGAGTCCTGCCAATCTGCTTTCAATAACGGGGGGTAATTGTGGGGCAACAGAACCACCCTGCAGTCAACCTGCGCACTGCCGAAACCAACTTGCGAGGCGATTGAAATGTGTAAGTTGCGCATTGCATGTCCGTTGGGGCGAGTAATCTAGTTTATTACTTTCGGAAACGAAAAGAAGGCCCTCGCACAGGCGAGAATTGACAAGTTCAGTTGTAACCACTCGCGTAACAAAATTGTTAAAGTTAGTTACCGCGTGATAACTGAGAAAACTGAAACGAGAATGGAATAACTAGGTGAAAGTTGGGTACAATTACAACCCTAGAAAGCTGTACCCCATATGTGCTACCCCACTATAGCCTACAACAGCTATGTCATACAAATCTGACACACCCCCATAGGCAAAGTGGGGGAGAACAAGGGGTCACAAGACCAGTCAAGCAAAGCAAAGCAAAGCTCAGGGTGGATCACAAAGTCACCACACATTCCGAGCACAAGTTCAAGGCCAGACGGCCAAGTCACATGCAGGAGCACACATATATATATAAGGCTAAACAAGCAAGAGCAGGAGTATATATATGTGACAGTACAGGCAAGGTCAAGAAGTGAGCAAGTGAGGCAAGGTAGGCACAAGACCAAGCTGAGTACAGAAGCGCTGATGATCACAAGGCGCAAGTGCCTTGGTGAAGACATCAGCAGTGTTGGCCTCAGAGGCCACGTACGCAAGTTGCAACTGACCACGCTGCTGCAGCTCACGAGCAAGAAAGTAGCGGACAGCAATGTGCTTCGTTCTGTGCTCCAGGCGCTGCTCCCGACACAAGGCCAGCATGGCCTTGTTGTCTACGTACAACACTGGAGGAGAACGAGGCGGCTCTCCAAGGTCGGTCAGCAGGTAGGTGAGCCAGCGAAGCTCCTGTGCAGCCATGGCCCCGGCGTAGATCTCAGCCTCACAACTAGAGCCGAGAACAGAAGACGAGCGGGTAGCCCGCCACGAAACAGAGCCGGAACCAAGGCTGAAGGTGTAACCCTCTGACGACTGCTGCATAATCTGGTCGTCAGCCCAAGAAGCGTCCGCGTGCCCAGTGAGGACCACTGGACTCTGCCCTCCAAGCACTAGCCCCATGCCCGACGTACTGCACAAGTAGCGCAACACCCTCTTTGCTGCAGCCATGTGCTCTGGTCGGTGTCTCCTAGGAGCAACATAGCGTGCAAGAATGCTAAGAGGGTATGCAAGGTCAGGTCGTGTGCATGTCATCAGGTACATGAGGCAGCCAACAAGCTCTGCGTATGGGCCACTTGACTCTACGGACTCATCCAAAGGCAGAGCTGAGAGCGAGTGGCGAGTAGGCAGAGGAGTGGCCTGAGGCGAGGAGTACGTGAAGCCGAAGCGCTGAAGGACCTGCTGCACCATGTGTGACTGAGTCAGTGTAATGGTGCGGCGTGCTCTGTCCCGGGTGATCTGCAAGGTAGCTGCGCAGTTCACCCAGGTCAGTGCACGTGTGTCTCTTCTGCAGCTCGGACTTCACGTGGGCGAGTCCAGCAGTGTCAGCAATGGCAAAGACAGAGTCGTCGACGTACACGAGGATGTAGAACGGCGGGAAAGAAGTGTCGGTGCGCAGAAACAACGACGGGTCGGCAGTAGAGGGAGCAAACCCAAGAGCCGCAAGCGTAGTCCTCAGTGTGCCGTGCCACTCACGTGGTGCCTGGCGGAGACCGTAGAGTGGCCGTCGGAGGCTCCACTGGGTGCCAGGAGGAAAAGTCCCAGTGAAGCCAGGTGGGCGGCGCAGCTAGATCTCCTCGTGCAGGCTACCCTGCAAGAAAGCAGTGTTGAAGTCAAGAGAGTGAAGCTCGTAGTCGCGCTGGGCAGCTATGTGCAGCAGCACCCGAAGAGTGGTCATCTTCGGGGTGGGAGAGAAGGTCTGAAAGTAGTCAAATACCTTCCGCTGACTGAAGCCACGAGCCACGTACCGCGCCTTGAAGACAGGCGGAGAACCCGGCGGCCGCTTCACCCTGAAGATCCACATGCCACTGACGATGTTCCCCCCAGGTGGGGGAACCGCGTCAATGTAGGTGCCTGTGGACTTCCAGGAAGCCATCTCTGCATCCATAGCTGCCTGCCACTGAGAGGAGTAGGGACCCTCTACGGCCTCCGCGTAAGAGCGCGGAGTCGGGATGTCAAGTGCATCCGGGTCTGCCTCTTGGGTAAGCAGTACAGACACGAGATGAGGTGAA